GAAATTAGAATGATTTTACATGCACTGATTTATAAATTTGCTGGAACTTTATGCAAGCTGATTGGTACCTCAATATTTTCATCACATAAGTTTCTTTCTCTCCTATTTTTTCTATCTTTGTTATGATCTAAACAAGATAATCTTGTAGTCAAGTTTTGGGCTGATGAGAGTGAGTGAATATAGGTTATTCATGGTGATCAAGTTTAGCTTCTACAGCCAAATCAGGGGATCTTTTTTGCAGATTGGTGGTACAGCCTGTTTGTGAATAGTTGAAATGGAATTTATTGGTGATAAGAAAACTTTTGTTTTCCTCAAGTGGCTAGTTGGATTCCTCAGGAGACTGCTGAGTCGGAGAAGGCTTTGATCCTATAGCTGAGCTTGGAGTCAAATTCCAGGGACTAGATCTGTTGCTGCTTCAATAAAGGCACTCTCGATTGTTAAAAGATGCTGGAAATTCTTTCTCCGCTTCAGTTTCCAATCAAAGAAAACCCGAGAAAATTCTTGGCAAGTTTCCGCGAAGATCAACCTCCAGTGCATACTGTCTGCCTTTCGAGGCTCCCGCTGGGAGGTGTTGCACGCTTCTACTCGTTTCATGGAACCAAGCTGCTCTTTCAACATTTACTGTAGTCTTCTTTCGTTGTATGTAACAGTCAGGCTCGGTGTTGCTTTGATTTTCGGCTTGTAGTGTTGACGAGGCGAGTGCGATCGACTTGGGATTGGTTTTAAAACAGAAGGCTCGACAAATTTCATCGGCTGAAGAAAATAGTACACCTGTAAATTGGTTGGTTCCAAGGCTTCGATGAGCAAATTAGGAATTTGTCTGGAAAAGAGCATAGATCTTGTGAGAAGCTCCATTTTATAAGTAGGCATCCCCACGTCATGATCAGCTCGTTGCCAGAATAGCTTGTCGCTTGATCTTATCCAACTCGTTTACCAATCACTAGAGAGCTCATTCAATGAACTTCAAGTCCTCAGTTTTCTTGGTTGCTGCTGGGTGCTGCTTGGGAGCCGTTCAAGGGTCATTATATCCAAAGACATCGCACAACTTTCGTGGATCAGAAGAGTTAGCTGAGCCTTTAATCAAAAGTACGTATGGCTTTCTTTTCCCTAGGTAGATAAATAGTCATCTGGAGAACCAAACAATTTCACAAAACCTGTTGACTTGTCATCAATTATCAAATTGGGATTGAACCCCATCAATTCCAACTTCACAGATGCGATGCCACGAGAAGATGTTGAGGGTTTGGTACCCCACTTGCTTCAAAGCCCAGGGGATTTTTCTAGCAGGAACAAACAAGGAATGACAAAGCAACACAATCACAGGATCCCCCTGCTTGGAAATCCAAGGAGTAAGTTATAAATTAAGAGTTGTAGCTTCAATAATTCAATCATGAGAAATTCATTAACCCAGTTTTCAAACCTTAAACCCAACACAAAAAAAAATTGGCACAATTTGTCAATAAAAGGAGATAGAACACATTTTGTAACAAACATACTTTACAACCCAGAGTATTATCCAGTGAATACAATGCAAGAAAAGGTCAAACAGTACATTTCTGGTATCCCCCAGCTGGGAAATACATGGAGTAAGTTGAAAAACTGGAGCTTTACTTATAACGCAAATATGAAAAAGAAACACATGTTGAACCATTTTCATCTGTTTCACAATGTTAGATTCTGAAAAACCTGTACACAGCAATCAAGGTATGTATTCTGGTCAAGTAAAACAATGAATTCCCGCAATAGTCCTTCAACTGATCAAGAATGATTGATTGTCTCACATAGAGTGGAGGCAGATAGATTTTAATCTGCTAAGAGATTCTACTAATGAATTATTCACAATTTATCAAATGATCCGTGATCTTTCACTGGAATATGATTTACACTCTCTATTATATGATGGTATGGAAAGTTTGGATAAAATACATGGAACCATGCTTAATTGGTTAGGCTTGAAGAATGAAAGAAATGAGTATGTCAAATATTTCCCATGGCAATTGAATAAAGAGGACAAGAAAATCTTGAACACTCATTTTTTGTTTCTTCAAAATTGGGAAACAGAGCTTTACAACAAATAACTATCACAGAAAGTTCTTCAAAGAGTCCTGAACAACTACTGGATGCTTTCATGGGAATGAGTTCTGCTTTCAAAAGTGACTTATCTGTTCCAAGGACATTGATTATCCACAAGATATTTTTCCAAACACTTGAATACTTCCGCAAGCATTCACTAGTCAAGTCAGAGGTTTTTGGTGAATTAATTCAAAAACATGGTGTCATATTGGATGTTTCAAAGCATTGCTTTGCTTCTGGTAAATATGACCAAAAATTATCAAAGAACTTTCTTCCTAAAAGTAGCAAAGATTTCCTTGATGACTGGTATTACAGCTCCCCTTTTTGGAATATGTTGGAAAGGTCAGCCATAAGTCACTTTCTATTTTATGAAATCAATCCTTACTGAACATTTTCAATTGGAATCTTCTGCACAGATGTTGGAAAAAAATACAAGAACATCTTTTCATATGAATACAATAAAATTGCATTCATGGACTACAAAAATTCTGTTGAAAGTCATGATAATCCAAAATTAACAGATAAAATGTCACAAATTGAATATCTAACCTTCTATGGTACTGATAAAGGCAATGGAAGAAGAGAACAATACAATCCAGAAGTGGGAAAGGCCTGGGTGAATTTAAAATTTGAAGAATTAATTGATGCTTTCACCAACATTCACATTTTTGATGAAGAGGGAAGATGCAAGATAGCTTTAGTAAATTTGTTTCAGCTGATAGAATATTGGAAAGAATACTATCCAGAAGAAACCAAAAAGATTGATAGTATGAACAGCAATTTCCAACAGAAGTATGCTCTGATGTCCTCAAGTAGTCAATTTCTCACAAAAATAGACAGGATTCAAACTTATTTAGAAAAAGAATTTACAAACCCTGAAAAGAAAAGTTCATGGTTCAAAAAGAAAAAAGAAGACAAAGAGGCAGCACTGAAGAAGGTCAAAGAAATAGAAACAATGGCTGAGTACACAAGAATTATTGAAGGAGAACATTTCAATCAAGTTGAAACTATTGAATATCTAGATTCATTCAAAAGGTATTACCAGTTTGAACAAATTGTTGATAGATTGAACCATTTGAAATCAAAAATAATTAATCTATATGAGTACTATCAAAAATTCATCCACTAGGAATGAAAATATGTTTTTGCATACACCTGTGGATAGTTAATATTTATTCTTTTTCATCTCCAATTTTGTTAGGTTTTCTATTCCATGATTCTTGTGAGAAAAATACTCAATCACTGATTACACTTCATTATGTTCGTTCTTGTTGTGGTCTTTTCTTTCCTTTCTATTGTGGGTTTTCAATTTCATGAGGATTGTGGGAAACATGTATCCACAGTCAGATTCTATTCTGCATTTATTTTTTATTTTTTCACTCAATATTTTGTTCTTAAATTCAACTCAGTTGCATGCTAAGGTTTATTTCTGTGTTCTATGTTTCCTTGGATTCCTCTTGGCCATGAAGATTGTACAGGATTGATGGCTGAGAGAAATTCCTTACCACACTACCAAAAGGTTTGAATCACATTTTGCAGACGTTTACATTCCATGGCAATTTACTGTGTAATTGTGCATTTGGAAAATTTGATTTAATCCCTTTTGGCCAGAAATGAACTTCACACACAGTGTGAAATGTAACCCTGTATCTGTGAAATTCAATTCAATCCTTTTTGTAGTGGTGCCATAGGGCTTGTATTGGTTAAAACCCCCCTACCATGGTAGGGATGGCCAGGCTCACCAATAGACCAGTACACAACCCATTTGTTGTAATGTATTGATGGTCCCAGCCAATATAAAATTGGTCGGGCTGGGAAACCAACATAATAACAGTTGCCTCAAGTTGACCTTACTAAAGGTGTGGGGTAGAATTTAACAAATGCAACCACTTTTGTAGTGCCTTGTGGCCAGGAAGAACCTTAAAGCCTGTAGCCTTAGGCTTATGTAATCAAGATGCCAAATGGTGTTGATCTTAAATGAAACTTAAGGCTTCAAGTTTATTATTATCAACACCATGGGTAAGCTCCCACTCACCAAAAATTTGTTCCTGCTCAAACATGACAACAAGGGTTGTGTTTGGACACACATCCTTTTTCTGGCGTGCACATGGACATGTGGCATATAATTGGCAGGTTAGCATCTATGAAAAGCCAATGAAAGATAATTACATTGAAATGCGGTTGAGCACCTAACGTCCCATGACTGGGTGAGATATATCATGATCAACATCAATGATATGCTTACAAATAGTCAAATAAGTAGAAAAAAATTACAACAATGTAGGTCTTTCATTTTGGTGCTTTCTGATTCCATCAAGAGTTTAGAGTATCTGGATTCTGCATTGTTTGTGCTCACCCCAAGTGAGTTTTGACCGGAAGATATTGTTAAACTAGAATAGCAACCACCTGTTAGCCACTTCTGTGTGGCTTCAAACAGTGTGGTTTGAAGTTGAAGTGTGTAGCTTTTGTGCAAGGGTGCCAAATTGTAGTGTTGCACAGGTTAGCTTTTACTTTAGCAAATATGGGGTGCTAGGCTAAATGTTGTACTTAAGCTAGCTCTCTCATTTCTACATAGACAGCAGGAAATTCCTCTCCTCTGTCAAAGTACATATTCCTCTCTTTTCATTTTTTTCACTCTCCCCCCTTCTCAGATTGTATCTAGAAAAGATTGTACTGACAACAATGGGCCGCTAAGCTAAACGGACCACTAACGTTAGCGTAGTAGCCCTCAAAACAGTGTGCCAAACCTGTAGTGTTAACACGCTGTTAGTGCTGCTGTGCTACAGTGATTTTAGTGGCAAAAACGGCCCAAAAACCGTCAAAATGTGCTGTAGCGCAGCGTAGCGGGCCCTTTTTTGCGGCCCACACACTTAGCATTAGCGCAGTCGTGGCGGAATTCCGCTGTGGTACGCTAAACGTTAGCGGAATTTCACTATGTTACGCTGTGCTAACCGCTACGCTCAACGTTAGTGGAATTCCGCTATGTTAAGCTGCACTAACTGCTACGGTTAGGGTAGCGGCCCTTTGTTGTTACTGATGACAAAATTCCTCTTTTCCATCTGGTTTTTTTAATATGAACTCACCTGGGTTATAGAATCTGCTGGCTGATAGCCTCAACCAACTTGTTGATTCCATTTGACCAAGCAAGATCTTGTGAAGAGTCACCTCTCACAGAAGCATAAATCAGTTGATAGGTAAAATAAATTTATACACATCATCATCAAGAATGTATGAAATCCAAAATCATTCATAAATATCTGTGTATTTTGAGTGTTTTACATAGGGGGATCCTAGTGGAGAAGATCAGAAATGAGTTCAAGCTAGATGCTGTATTCATAATAAAACTGTTGATTATCACAATAGATGAAGCAGAATCAGCATGATTTGATTTTATTGAAGAAAATTTCCAAGAGAAACAGTGATCATTTATATTTCTCAATGATGTTTTTGACATGAAATTCAAATCCTTTTACTAACGCAACACTTATTGTTGGAAAATCTGTCACAAGCTGTAAAAAATTTTCATTTGGGAATTCCATTCTATCTTTTAGTATTTTATGTTGAATGTAAAATCGTCTGTATTGATCTTTGCAGTTTTGAATTGAACTTTTGATTTCTACTGGATTGAAATTGAGGAATCTCGGTATGGATGGCTTAATTCTTGACTCAAACAAGTCAGTAGAAAGGTTTATTGCAACTTGAAAATCTTGGGACATTTGATAATCACCGATTATATTGACAAAGCTCGGTAAAATGTTTCGGTGAGTTGGGCCCATCAATCCGGCTGACTCTTGCGAGACTTTTTGGATTTCGCTAGGCAATGTGCCTCCTGCCTTCAGCTCTTCATAATAAGCGTTCTTTCTGATAATGATCAAGTGCATGATATTTGACATCAGTCCAACCGCTTCCTCAAATACACGGATCGGCTGCTTGTTTCGTTCCAAGAATTTGTCTGAAATGAACGATCTGCGATAGCGCGTGATAAAGCTCAGCATATCGTATAAATGTTTCAAATGGATTAGCTTTTGCGATTCCTGAGGTCTCAGGCTTTTAATTCTAGATTGTGATGTAACGTGGTTTATCAAGCTTTCCAAGAATGCTTCAAGTTCGGTTTCATGCAGCTCGACGTTTTCTGGAGACGCCACCTTCAGGAAACTCTCCTGAAGGGAAGCAAAGGAGTGATATGATGAGGAATCGGTCAACTGATACGAAGTCATCCGAGCCTGAAGACAATCGAACTCAATCCGTTCCCAAGTCTCTCGGTCCAAGCCTGCATTTGATTAAGGGAAGAAAATCTGAGTCTTCTCCGGAAAACAAGTGAACATAGAAGCTCGATCACTGCAGTGAATTAGGAAGAAAAACATCAGGATATTGACTGACCCTCTAACAGCTTGGCCATCTGTTTCGTGTAAGAGGAATGGATGAGGCTTAGCTTAAGGTTAAAGTTCAGATAGGCAGTGGTCAAAGTTAAGGTGGGGTATCTGCTCTTGATGTAAGACGCGATCAATTTCCCCCGATTATCGCGGTTCAGAAAATTAGATAGGCTTTCTTGGGTGAGGATTCCTAGTCTTTTCAAGTCAACAAAACAACCAATCATCAGATCACTTCCACGTTTGATTATTAAGCTTTCTGGTTTATTCTGCGGGTTCAAAGTTTCCCATGTTTTGCTGATGTCCGCGATCGAGCTGAGTGACATCTCTAGTCTACGCTGACTGAATTCATCAACCTTTGGCTCAAACAAATTTAGCAGGGACTTTTTGACCGCTTTCATTTGATTTCTAAACATCGGTCTCTGAGCGGGTTCCAGCCGTAGTTTCAAAAAATATGATTCCCAGCTTTCGAAATTCTCCAAAGTTTCCAAGTAACATTCGTGAGGCGTTGTATCTGCTTCAAAAGTGACAAAATGATGTAAGCTGTAATCATCGCTAACTGATATGTCCAAACCTAACACTAGCTGCACTGACCACTTATCATCTTGGCCTTCTTGGCTTGATTCGTGATGAGGGGCCGTGTGAGACGATTCAAACATACAGTTAAAGATTGATCAATCGTTTGAATTGCATTCTTCTGGTGGGAGCCTTTTCAGAAATTGTAATTATTTAGAACATTGGGTTAGGGAACTTATACCTACCTTCACGTGGTGATGAGCCCGAACCACTGCCGAGTAGAATTACTCTAGTGCGTTTCCTGGATCCTAATTCTTCGCGAATGGTAGTCGAATCACCACTGGAATCGGAGATTCTCTTGGCCTCAGAGGTTCTTGAAAGGTCATTCACATCATCAATAGCTATGACTTTTTGAAAATTCTCTGAGGCTCCTAAACACGATATTATCCAGATCACGCTGGTCCATACTTTTCTGCGCATTTTCCGTATGTTTAAATGAGAGGGAGGGATAGATTGCTTTTGTAACTTGTTCGGCTCGATCTGCTATTTGAACGCAGTAATTGGGTGGCAGAAAAGAAAAAGGTTATTCATCGGGTCAGACTTGCCGGAGAACCGAATAGAACAGCCCATGCAAACACTCATCATGAGCTATACCACGTGTGAATGACACTCAACCCTCTTCCATACGATCAGCTGTTGTACTTGATAAAGAGCTACATACGAAGGTTGATATCTCTTCAAGAAGCTCATCTCTTGTGAGCCATGACTATTTATTTGAAGATAAAGTTAACACACGTATTCTGAAACCACGTCTGTTGAAACAGTTCAGCAAAATTTAACCAAGATACGTTACATGCTTCCTTCCCTCCCAAATGACCATATGTTTGTGGAGTGGGAGGCTTGCCGCAGAGAGGCGCCCAAGTTCACACCATCATGTAGGATGCGCGGAGGCAATACATCAAGAGTAACAACGACTCAAATCAGGGAGTCAACCACTCCAGAGGAGTAGATAGTTTTAGCAGTGGCTCAGTTGGTAGAGTATTCAAATCTTTCTACTGAGACCAAAGACAAAAATTATAGGACCCCGGCAAGCCCCCCAATAGGGGTGTGTTGGAAAAGGTATGACAAATGGTCAAAAATCCCAAAAACCCACTCTTGGAAAACGTTGAAAAAGGTGTGAAGTATTTTGGCCCAAAAACATACTCTTGTTGAAATCACTCATTTTTGGTATGTGAAACTGGTCAAGACCAGTGAAATCTGGAATTCGGACCCCAAACCCAGGAGTTTGTTGGGAAAACCCCTCTTTTGGGAATAATACTCTTGAAAAGGTATGAATTTTCCAAAAAAAACAGGTATGAATTGTGCCTAAATCCAGAGTTTCTCAACACCCCCTCTTGGGGGGGGGGGTTGCCGGGGTCCTCCCTCTCAGATCAACACTCCCCCCTCTTTCCCCCTGGACTCCCAATCCCATCAGTGGGGCTTTCCCCTGACCACTCCCCAACAATTCTACTGTTGCAAGTTACTACATAAAAGCTTCTCATTTAAATAAAAAAAATGAATCAGAACTCCCCAATTTCCCCATCTAGGACCAAGACTTGGTGGTAAAATCAGATTTAGACATCCAAATTGGCTGCCTAATGGTCACTCTGTAGAGTTGCATGTCTGAAAAACAGATGATTATCATCAACGATTTAACTGATGCGATGCATGCATAGGTATCACATCGTATCGGGCCTTTATCGCATCACATCGCAAGAGCAATACGGGGCCCCACATCGCATTGCTTGCATCAGATTGTTCAATACAGTGTATCAGTATTGCATCAGCAAAGCAATGTGATGCGATGCACTATAATTTGGTGGCATTGGTTTGCATTGCTTTCCGATATGATGCTGATGCAATGCATCGCTTTTTCAACGCGATGCCAATGCAATGCATCGCTTTTTTGATGTGATAGCAATACATGGCTATTTATTGCATCGTTTCACCGTTGTTATCATATAAATAAACAAATACCAAAAAAGATTATCTAAGTTATCCTATTTCATGTTTCTTATTTTACTTTATTCCCATTACTCTGTCATTTGAACCAATGAGATTGATGGGGGGGACTAGACAGGGGCAGTGATCCAAGGAGGCAGTTGTGGGCTATTGTGAGAGTACAGTCTGAGGTAGACTTATAGATGTAAGAGACAAATAAACACTTATATCACCTAGCTAATTTCAAGCTCAAGGAGAAATGAAAAGATAGAGGGCCTTGGTATTGCTCAAGCTGGCAAAAATTCCCCTCATATCAAAAATGGGTAGTACTCTACTTTAAAATATCTGAAAATGATTAGGCAACATGTTATCCCCTAGACAACACAATAATGAGAAATGGAAGGCCAAATTATTGCTAAATTGGCCTTTTTTGCTTGATATCTCATTTGATATTTGCCACTCGTTGCGCAGATACTGTAACAACCCATCAAATCATAACTCCCCTGGTAGCAATATTGGAAATGGGACCACCATTAGCAAGAATTCTAATGACAACAGCCAATAAACTGTTACTTGATAGTTACTCTACCCGTTGCAGGTAGTGTAACTAGGCATTTTTGCGCATATGAATCAAAATTTGCCTCTGAAAGGGGAAGTTGAGGGAAGTAGTTAAATTTGGTGTGAGAGATTTGTGTTCTGATGAACTTATAGCCAATGAGAAAGAGGAAGACAGAAAAAAATCTGTAAGCGCCATTAGAGCAGGCTAGACTATAGTGGTGGATCAGACCATAATTAAACTCACTCTCCCTGAGGGAAAAATTGCCTCAGTCTTGGATGAGACAACTAAGGGGAGAAAAGACCCTTAGAAGGAACAGAGGATCAGAACCAATGTGGTTTAATTGCTTGTAAGTTGTATCTAGCTGAAGTTAAGTAGCCACCATACAAGAGGGCCAATTTGTGGTCATGGCTAGAGAAAATGTAATGAATATTCAATAAAAATGAAGAACAAAAATGTATTGTGAAACCTCATTTTGGTAAGGAGTCACAGAATGGCAACATGTTCCCTGGTTTTGGCAGGTGAAACATTTCAACCTGAATAACAAGCCAGTTGCCCCACACCAGGCCAATAATCCTTTTTAAGAGATGTATTCTTCTTCCCTGCAATAGCAAAGTGGTTCAAAATTTCAGTTTTCTGAAACTTCTGGTTCCTCTTTGTTTGGAACATTTCTCAAAAATTCTGTTATCTTGATGATGTTGTGTAGAATTTTGTTCAAAAATCAACTTTGAAACCCCCTAATATCACCTTGCATATCTGCCTCCCCTTCCAATTAATGAATATGAGGTGTCATGTCCTACAGAGCATTTCAGAGCTGATGATTTTCTCTTGCTTGTCACAAGTTCTTTAATGTCTGTGAATGGCCTTGCCGGGCGTTGATAAACGCACTCCCTCCCCCACCCCGCACTCCCTCCCCCACCCCGCACTCCCTCCCCCACCCCGCACGCCCACGCCCACACCCCTCCAAAAGGGGCGTGCAATTGAACCCGCCCCTCCTGGAGGGGCGGGTGGGCTTGCATGCCAGCCAAGAACCAAGATAGCTTGGTTCTTGGATGGATTTGAATCCAGCCCATCGGGAGGGTTTCCTCCCGATGAGCTGGTCAGCTAAGCCAGCAACGGTGACGGCGGCCTAGTTCCAACGATTCTGTTGGCTCATCGAAGCACTATCGTCAATCAAGAGCACAGTATCATATCTGGCCAAGATAACTAATTTGTCTTCGCCGGAAGAAGGATTGGTACACAAGAGCGGAGAGGCTGGGGTTTGGTTGAGAGGGCTATTTAAGGCCGAGGCTGCCCCCGATCCTATGACCAAACGTCCCAGTCTTTGATGCTGACTGAGTTGTGGGCCGTTTGAGATGGTGCGTTGAGGATTGGGTGATCGGTTGGGATGGATCAATAAGGATTGCGAGCTGCTGAGAGTTCGTCTAAAGGAGCTGGGCTCGTTTGGGTTGGTTAATGGATGCCGTTATTGCTGTCGTTGTTGGTTATATCTTCCTTGGAGGATTGGATGGAATGAATAACGACGACGCTCAGCAAATTGTGGGTCGACCACACTGTAATCTGGCGGAGGGGCATGCATTCTGTCCTGGTCAATGATCTCTCGATATATTATTCTATTATTAGGGGATCTTGTATCCCTAGTGGTTCTTGGTCAAGTCTGTCTGTTGGCCATCCCACTTCGGAACTTCCCTAAGCCTGGTCTGATGAGCTTATATCTTTCCAGCGGGGCGCCCCCCCCCCCCCCCCCGTGCAGTGGTGACCGGGTCACCAACCAGCTTTGTAAATGCTGTGATCGGCTTCCCCCCATCTAGTTGACCTCCGCCCCAATCTCTAAAAATTCATTGCACAGCCACGGCCCATTGCTGAGTTTTCCTCGCCTCCTCCCGCGGGCCTTGTCTCAACCCCCTCTTCACATCTTTCATCAATTCCGCGCCACAAATGGGAATATACTGCCTCTTATCTCGGATCAAGGCTGGAAAACCTGAGCAGGATCTGGCACAATGTTATGTAGTGTCACGACTCTAACTCTCCAGACACAGTTCTTGGATACTTAGCTTGTAGTCCAACTATCTATGTAGATTGGTCCAACTATCTATAATGTTACATACATAGTAAGAAGATGGGATTACGTGAGCAAAACATCCTAGGATGTTTTGCTCACGTAATCATACCCGCTAGTCAAGAACCAAGCTATCTTGGTTCTTGGCTGGCATGCAAGCCCACCCGCCCCTCCAGGAGGGGCGGGTTCAATTGCACGCCCCTTTTGGAGGGGCGTGGGCGTGGGCGTGCGGGGAGGGGGAGGGAGTGCGTTTATCAACGCCCGGCCTTGCCGGAGCTCTGGCCTCTCTAAGCTTAGTTGATTATATGAGTAATCTCATCCGGACCTTCCTTCAGATCCTTAATATTAGAGCGGTTACTGTGGGGGCGACATCAAGGCATACAACAAGATGAAACAATGTGCTCCAGCAAGAAACGCTGATCATGCAGTTTCCTACCTGAGTACATGCGAAACGCTTCTTGGTACACCTGTACAGTACTATGCAGTCAGGCTGAAGTCGAAGATTTGTGCAATTGTTTCACAATGGTAGGGTGACCGGGTCGACAAAACACTTTTTTGCTTCACTGTTCAAGAACATTCCCAGCATCTTTCTTTGCTCTTGAATTTCTACATCCGAAAAACTTCTGCATAATCAAATGTTGATCTTGATAACTCCATCACAAACCTGTCTGCAAGGCCAAAAACGTTTGGCACGATGATTGCACCGCGGGTGTCGTTTGGTTTGGAAAGAGCTAGGCAAGCTATCAAGTGGCAGAAAACGATCATGATAAGCTTCATTGTAATCTTGCATTGTGCCCCCTTCACTAATTTGGCACCGCTTCCGAATTCTGAAAACCAGGAGAACCCTAGTGGTGTGATTCAAACCGTCGAAACTCTAGGTCGCACCGTGGGTGGCTTGAAGGATGACGCTAAATCCAGTGCAGTTTGGCGTGACTCGAAGCACATGAAAGGCGATGATCTCAAAGATTTTGCAAGCGATTCGGTCTCACAAAGTCGTGGTGTTGATGATCCACCAAGCACAGGATACATCTATTGGCCCCACTATTTTCACGTCAAGCGTCCAACTGTATCGCATCAAGAATTGCTTGCCCGAGATGATTTACTCACCAAGTCTATCCACAACAATCCAAATTTTGAGGCTCTGGATAGAGAGCATGCCCGAATCCAGGCCTCTTTACTGAAACAAGCCGAAGGCATTGAACTTCTTCAAATTGAATGGAAGGATCGACTTGTCAGAGAATTCAAAAAAGGCGGAACCATGCTGGTTTGCGTAGGTTGCGCCAAGTTATCACCAAAGAGACGCAAGGACCCTCTTTGTACAGAATTTTAGTAGATGGAAATCAGCGTAGCTGATTTGTATTGAATGCCGATGGTTTAAATTAGTCAACTTTTTCCTCTATCTCTTCGAAAGAGAAAATGGAGAAATGAAAACATTTCGATGAAAGTTAGCAAACTAAGAGGAAATTTTCAGAATCCCAACGCCCTCTCAAATGACGAAGAATGGACTGCGATAAACCGATTATCGATTCTTGAAAGCCGAGGCTTTGATTTTTCAGACCGAGAAGCTCAACTGATCGAGAATATGTCCGCTGGTAACTCTCACCTCACCTCTGATAATAAGAGTTTAATTACCGAAATATCTTGTCAAACGGTGACGCAAAGGCAGCTCATGAGGATCGAAAGTCTGAAGGAATCTTATTCCGCAACTCCAGACGGGGAGCCCACTCATAAAATGATGGTCAGAATTGTTGAAGCATTAGACCAGCTTCAAGAAAATATAAGGCAAGGAGAAGTGTGGCACAAGAGCGAGATAGAGCTCTTATCAACCATGGAAACGTTGAAAGATGTACACGAGTTCCCATCTGTAAACGGCTTGAATCTGGATAGAAAAACTAAAAGGGTGCTTCGGAATCTCTTGGTGGAAAGGAAGAAATCGGAGCAGAAAGCGTCACGCATGAAAGCCTTTTCTATCTTGGACATGGATCTCAAACTGTCTTTACATGAAGAGCTCGTTCTAGATAAGCTCAGGGAACACAAGATCAATCCCAAACTTGATCTTACCCCGGGCCAGAAAGAAACAATCAAAGATCGGGCCAACGAGTATGATATCCAGCTTGAGCGCATCAGAGAATTTCACAAAAATACCCACCTGATTGAAACGGCTCGGAATCATCTCCAAGATCGAGAAAAATTCGAAAACCCCTCATCTCAAGCGCTATCAGAAAGAACGAGATATAGATATGCATATAAAGCTTTACAGGCCATGAAAACAAGGGGGATCGCCCTCACGGCCAAGGAAGAAACCTTACTGGACCAGTTAAAGTCTGCTTCAAAACTTGAAGACCTGGACAAGAATGAGATTGAAAAATTTGCAATCGAACACATCTTGATCAAAGAGATTAACAATTGTCATTATCTTCGGATCATTGCAAACCAATTAGCACATTCCAATGCAGAGTTCTTAGTCCCTCAAAATGAGAAAAATAAAGAGTTTCCAATCATTTTCAAGAATGAAGAATTGGAAGAAATTTCCAGATTACGAACATTATCTAGAGATGATTATGATGATCAAGAGTTTTTGAATGAGACTAAATTTGTCAAGATTTTGACGATTTTGAATCGAGTAGATTATAGAGCAAAACTCACCAGATTTGAACTTGAAAATCCAAAGTCAATAAGAATTCAACAAGCCATTCACAAAAACAAGAACAATCGACTCGAAGCTTGCAAGTCAGAATTCCTAAAAATGCAAGCTATCCCATCCGAATTCCAAAGAATCACAAACTTTCTAATAGATGCTCTTCACATGATCAAGCGTAAATAATTTGATTTTTTTTAATATCAACAATTAATCCTTCTTATTTTATCAGACCTCTATATTCAGCCCCATAATAAATCTGAGATGATTGGACATGAGCTCAAATGATACCTATTCAACAATTTCTACATTTCCCAGGTAGGAATTATTGATAAGGACTTCTAAGGGCAACTGCACTGTGACCCCAAGTGCTGAGTTTTGGGTGTGCCAACAGAGCCTAAAGTGTCCAAAGACCCACAACAACATTTCAGGGGCTTCTCACTGACAAGACATTGCATGACAGGTTTCAGTGACTAGAGTAGAAACAAGAACATTTTCAGGAAGAAAACTGGTGATGTACACAACAAATTTTCACCAAAGATTACTCACAAATTTAGTGGATGATGATTTTTGTTTGGTAAATAAAGTGATATTTGAAGCCTTGGCTTGTGGAACAACAAGGAGATCTCAATCAATACAGTCAAAACCTTTTAAAAGCGTGTGTCCCTTTGTCACAAGATTGTGCCATGCCCTTGAGGGGTTTATGCCCCCATATTAGGAAGTGAATTTGCAGCCAAAATATGACAGATGGGTTGTGAATTTTTTTTCTATGCAGTTTGGCAGATTATGTGGCCAGAAGTGTATTCCCAAAGACAGGTTTTTTTCATTGGAGAGAGATGAAAGACTGACATAAGGGGGAGGAAATCAAGGAAGAAGAGGGAGAGATAGTTATCTCTCTATGAAGGTGTTTGATTGGAGAGCTATATTTGCTGCAGGTATGGTAGCAAAGTTCTACGATTTTATTGGTGGATGAATCTATAATGTCTGGTTGATTTATAAACAAACAATGGGAGAAGTGGAGGACTTTGCATCAAATCTGGGACCCTTGCAGAAGCCAATCTAGACCCAAAAACACCGCAGATTCTTGCAGAGGAATTTGGGTTTTGAAGCCTTAAATTGGTTATGGGGGACCCACAGATTGTGATGGGAGCTCCTCCAGTGCCTCCATAGTCAGGGATCAAAGACTTCTTTATATCTCATGATTGAATTGAAAAATCAGACAACTTACAAAGCCTGTTGCCCTCTGTGTTCTTGTATGGCACCTGAACTAGGCACTAAGAGAAGGTGCCGGGGTCCATGTGCGCGGATAAGATTAGTTTTCAAGCAGGACATTATAGTCCTGGTCTAGTCCAAAACTAGACCGACTATTGATGTGCTGGGTACAAAAGAGTTCCCGTTCGGAAAATCTACGGAACTTTCCTTCATCCGCAAACTAAAATCTTATCCTTCATTATAAACATTATAACATTTTTTACCTAATTTATTATCAAATAAATTTTCTCTCACCTCCCACCCACCCTGCAAGTGGTTCAGGAACAGAGCTTTCTGTCTCTTGGTTCGGTGGTTTCTTGTTCCTAAACCTATTTCTTTTCCTATTTTTAAGATTGAAAGAAAGATAATAAAACAATTTATCTCAATAGCACACTAATCACTTCCCATGGTCCCAAATTAGATCTGATTCCATATGAGGACTCAGATTTGGTTACCATCCCACACTCCGGACAGCTGGAGGAGCTTGTTCCACGGCTGGCCTAAGAGATGCGCTGCGGCGCGTCTCTGACATGAGTACCATAGGAATGAAGAGCGCTAAATGGGCAACAAATGAGCACCAGGAAGCATGATTCATTCCCCACCAGTGACACTTGAAGTATTGATATCCACAACCATTGTCTCTGGCTACAAAGTCTGCACACCAATACATAGGGAAGTACTGCAGAGAGGGTGGTATCCGAGGCCTTCCCCCCTACAGAATCAGATTTGAACCCAATTCAAGTCAGATTTTGCAGGGAAATCTGATCCAAGGACCTAGAAATATGTTCTTGTAGGGGTTGCAAAACCAAAAAATGGAAGTCCTCCACTTATAATCTCTATCTCTTTGTACAACATAGTTTTGATGGGATTCTGGGCAGAGTGATGAATCGGAAAAAATGACTGGACATGGTCGGTATTGCAAGTTTCTGCATCCAAAGTCACCTGAGAGGTTGATGGATGTCATGTGGGATTGAAGGACCGAAAGCTTTAATCAAGATCAAACAACAAGTCTGACTCGGTCGTGGTGCCCGCAGTGCTCATATTGGATTATTGCGTTGTGAGGGGGGACACTCTGCCGGAGTATTGCGTTACGGAGTATTCTGTGACCGCGAGGGTGTTTTGTCGAAGAAGCACGAACTGTCTCTCTGGACTGGACATGAATACATCACCTCATCTCATCCAACCAAAGACTGTTGTGGACTCAATTCGCCAGGAGCGTCTTAAGCAGTCCACATCGGTAGATTCTTTATGTCGGCACACGACCGCTCGTTCTGCATCTTCTCATGAGTCGTTGCAAGACGTGAAGTGGATGAGAGTGAGACTAAGGAAAGTTACATCCAGGTGATCGAATGATTGCTCATGATCACAGCTTGACCTCCTCGAAAGCTATGTAACATGGAACCTGCAAGATCCACCCAAACCCATATCAACAAGAGAAAAAGAACGCGTCTTTTGAGCGTTGGTGTGACCGATCAACCGAGCATGCCACTCTTTGTACATAAACAGGGGGAGAGGGGGGGCTGAAGTCTCTGCCCTTCATCATCATCAATGGTGACTCAGATAGATCGCGAGCACGGGAGTTGGCTTACACACAACAACCAATTCATACATACATCAGCTCGATCCAACACAACTCGTCTGGAATAGGTACACAGGCTTACACATCCATACCCGGGGTCTACTGGAGACTGGCTGACGAACATTTCCTACAAAATCATCCGATGCGTGCGTGTCTATCAGCTGAGTTCTGCATTGTTTTTTTTTTGTGGGGGTGGTGGTGGAATTGTCACTAAGCGATTTCTTTAATTGATGAGGAGAAAACGCGTACATAATTTAACCAGAAGACATTCAACAAACGATATTTTCATCCGTCCATACATAATTCTTCTACAAATGCCCACACTTCTTCCCAACGCATACATAGTTCATATACTGATTGTAGACACACGTGAGCTTGATGTCAATCTAATATTCCTCCGTTTCTTATCGTCTGGCAGTGGAGATGTATGAACATGTACCCCACAATTTCAAAGATTGACAGTAGTCGACTGATTGATCAAACAATACCCCGCCAAGGTCTATGTATGGTGAGAAGAAGACCCGGCGTGTGTGTGTGTGTGGATTGGAAGGGCGACTGCGAGCGACAAACGGGTACATAAGTGCGTTCAACGGCCGCCCATAAGCCGCTTAATGATGATGGTCCGAATGAATTCCGCTGCTCGTGTTTTGGCGGTTGAAGCGGGGGTGAGTGTATTAAGGAGATGATGAGTTGTGAGTGGATGTCGGACGGGGGCGCTTGAGCTTCTTCTTCCTTGCGGTGCTCACTGGTTCTCGATGGTTGGTTGGTTGGTGATCAAGGGTGCAGTGAAGCTGCTGAGGTGGAAGAGTGTGGTGATCTGCCAGTTTCCCCGCTTTGGTGAATTCCTAATTTGCTTACATAAGCCCCTCATATTACAGTTGAGCTGCTCTCTGCAACGAGCCTCGAGGCTTGTAAAGCCCAACAACCCTCTCCGCCGGACCCTCGACCCTCGTATAAGCAGGCCAGTGATTGGATCCAAAAGAAAGCTTCCTTCCTTCCTTCCTTACTACATCCACTCCGGAAAAAGTCAGTCTATCGATCCAAGCTTCCCTGTTTCCATACGAGAAAAAAAAAACAAGCAACTCTCAAATTGCCCCCCCAAAAAGACTAATGATGTCATCCTTACAATAGTCACCCTCTCTTTTGCAAAGACCACCCCAGACAGCAGCCCACTACATACAGTCCAGACCCAACTAAACACAACCACCAACCCGCGCTCCCCTGTTTCCAATTCAACCCCATCCTACTTAAAAGCCCAAACCACTTCTCACCCTTCATCCATCCTCAAACCATCAGAAAACTGTACTCATCTCATCAGAACATCTTAAGAAACACCTACCACTCAACCTACCCCAACAGAACCCTCTCCCCAGATTGAACCACCGTCTTTCGACTAAAAACAAACAACAAAATGTCCTCAAACACTACCCATCCAGTCAACAATCAACCCACCAAGGATTATCCACAACCAGGATCCAAGCCAGTACCAACAACCGAACGCCGAGCCTCCTTCCTATCAACCCTATTCTCCATGCCCTCCCCGCCCGTCGGCCGCCACAACTCAGTCAGCAGCAGCAGTACCGCCAGCAGCCTCTCGCCCTCCTCCTCCTCCTGCTCCTCGATGGCTACCCCGCAACACGAAGCCGGCCGGGGTACTCTCACCGGCTCCCCCGCCTCCTCGCTCGCTTCCCCCATCGATTCCAAGTTCAGCCCAATCGAATGGTCCTACGCCAACGAATCCCCTCACTCCCGTCAGACTAGCTTGAGCGACAGTCTCGGCGGGTTCAGCTTGGCGAGCTCCTTCAGATGGCCTGGCTCGGCCTCCTCCACCGCCCCCGCCGCCGCCGCCGCTTCTAACGTCCAGCCTATCTCGATCCCAAACTCTTCCTCCTCTGCTCTTCCTCAACCCAACGATGCTCATCATCACCCTAACCCTGCCCCAACGGTCGGCATGAGTGCTCCTACCAGAAGGACCAGTGTTGGCGGACCCGCGTTCAGAGTCAGTCTCTTCTCCCTTCTTTTTTTGCCCTCAAAAAGAGATCATTACTAACTCATTTTTTTCTTGTATTTTCAAAAAAAAAAATAGCGGGCATTCGAATTACCTACTTACACCAGCACCTATACTAACCTTCAAGACAACCCTCCACAACAACACGACTCGCCCGCCCAAGCCGACGCTAACAGTCGACGAGGCCGCTCTGGCTCTCTGTTCAGCTCCTTCGGCGTTGGCGCTGGCGCTGGCGATGCTAGTAAACGCGCTCCTGGCCCTCCCCGACGAAAGCTTAGTCCGATGGGCGAAAGAGTTTGTCACTCTTTCAATCTCACTCTTGATGCTTGTTGACCCGTCTAACCTGATTTAACCTAACAGATGATTCGAGACCACCCTTTCTAAGTAAACCAATCCAACCCACCACATTTTTTTTTTTTTTTCGTTTGACGGTCGATACACACGTGAAGAAGAAAAGGACGACTACCTACACTCATACGCACGCAGCGCCTACAACATGTACACATATATCTTACTACAAGAAGCCTTCCTTTTATTTTAACTCGGTCGACCTGCTAGTCGGGATCACACACACACACTATTCATCATTCTCCGAAACACCTTTCCAGCCCTCTTACGTTGTACTTCACACGATTCTTTTAATCCGAGAACACAATCCCCTGCCTTTGTCTCCAACTTTAGGAATATAAAAACAAAATGAGACGAGAGGTTGAGTGGACGGAGATGATGATTCTCATTAGAAATATCCGATCTCCTCCTCCGATTTCTTTCCACTGTCTCCTCTCTCTCTCTACTCCCATTCTTCTTTCCTCCTCCTCGCTTATCTTCCTTGGTCCCTTCTATCAAAACTCGTTTCTTCTTTCACTTCAGTAGTTTCTCAACTCCTGTTGCTCAATTACAGTTTTTTTGTCCATACGAGCTACCCTTTCTTTTCTCCTCTCGCATACTTCTCTTTTTTTTGGTCGAACTCTTTTTATCAGTTTTGAAAAAAAAAAAAATGACATGGAAGTCGATTCCATTCATAGGTGTCGACTTGTTCTCTCTATCGCTCTCTCGATTTCTTCTCTTTCATATTGATTCATGTTGTCAACAATAGTCGTTTATCCCTTCCTCTTCTTCCTCAAAACTTTCCATCTCTTTCTCTCTCTCTCTCTTTGAAACATTATACATCAACCAAGAAAAACCCGAAAAAAGAGAAGAAGAAGCTTTTACTACAGTACATGGCCTGTTTCTTATCCCCTCTCCCCCCTCTTTTGTTTTTCCGGATCCACATGACACCCTTTTATAACTATCAAACAAAAAAAAAACGAAGCGAAACGAAGAATAAAACCAACATCGGCCTTCTTCTTACTCACCAACGTGATGATGATCTTTCTCCCTTGTAATGCTTTGACATGTCTTCATATACATACATACAAACTTATACATTAACCTTGTAGTCCAGCTAAGTCCTATCCTACACATCTCATCAACACATGAACTCATCTCACCACCACATCCACACTTATTGCAGATTTACACCCATCAACTCGTCTACAATA